ACCTTTCAGTGAGATAAATCAGGTCTAACCTGTGGAGCTTTACCTGGGACTATCGAGCCCTTCTTCAGACCAGATGTTTATTTTCCCATGGATGTCTGAAGTCAGGTCTTAGCAGACTTTTCTCTCCTGCCAACTCTATTCAGTTCTCTTTTGGTCAGACCTTGGCATGGTCACTTCATGCTTTATGCTTTGCCCACCATACCAGCATTAGCCCAACAGGGAAGAGCAGTGAGCAGCAAACTCACGTCTACCAGGCATGGGGTGGGACAGGCTCTTAATGTTCACAGCACAGCACAGTCCTCCTCTTTCAGCTCCTGAGGGAGGACGAGTGAAATGGGGTCTTGGAGAAGGGCAGAGGACACTCGCCTGTCCACACACACATCCAAGGAAGATGTCTCTCTTTCATTAAATGAACCTTGAGGAAACAGAGCACTGCTAATGGAGATTCTGTTCCCTACAGGGTCCCCTGTAGAGACCCACTGACTCTTCAGATTGTTTCCGCAAGGATGATGATTGTGGTGTTCACTGCTCCATAAAGGTCTCTGGTACATGCAGCAGTAAATCATCTGTTTACATCATGAAGTCCATTTTGTATATGCTTCCTAGTGGTACATTTACAGCAAAATGAATGACTGTGACAAAGGATATAAAAAGCCGTATGCAGTGACAGACCTGCCTGTCATTTGAAGGTCTTTGAGCAATGAAGCTGTCACCTTCAGGCTCTCATCCCTCCAGTGAAAGGGTGTTTGTGTCAGACTTGCAGACAAGGGGTGACGCATCAGGCTCTTGGCAGGTGGGCTTGGTCTCTTTCATCTCTGGCTCAGGACCAAGGGGAAGAGGGGGAATTCATCCCTTCCTGTCAGAAGGTGGTGTGACCATGGCTATGACATCACTTTTTTTTCGAAACCTGATAGAAAGCAAAGCCATGGGGACATCTGAGGCTGTGGATGCAATGCCCCAGCATAGCTAGAGACTGTTAAATCAGTTTATCAGAGTGTTATGGGCTTAACTTGAAATTCAGAAAAGATACAAATCATGATTGGTTGTAGGAAAAACCCTTGAATGCAGTAGCTTGCAAGTTGTGTATCTCATGTAGTAATGAAAAAGGAACAGTATATTGCAGGTAATGCTGAAATTTTCATTGTTAATAATGATAGACATGGAAGCATAAAATACACATTCAGTACCAAAGAAAAATCTTAATTCTTAGCATCACTGTTGGCCAGTCTGATTGACTGACATGTTGATTTAACTGGAACAGAACCAGCAGCAACATAAGAAACTACTTAGAGAAATGAGAAAAGGAAGTACAGAAGGTCAAGCAAAAAAGCTCAGTAAGCTCCTGGTGATATATCCCATGTAAAATATGGTTTCGCCACAAGAAATGTCAAGCATGTAAGACTTCTACTGGCTTGTCAGTGAAAACAAAGATGTTTTTTAGCCTGAAAGAACCTCTGCCAAGACAAATGACAACAGTGTAAAGCTTTAAGTATCCTTCTGGGCATCTTTAATGGCCACACATCCCCAGCAGAGGCCGAGAGTCTATGTATAGCAAAGGAAAAACTGCATTCATTAGAGAGGGAAACAAGGCATCAATTTGGTGAACCTAAGTACTATTCTGAAGGCAGGACAGAAGATGCTTTCTCCTGCTGTAACTTCAGAGGTAACTCAGTGACTAAATAACCCAGCTGGTAGACCATCTGCCACACCACTGACAGGGACGGTGAATGATCCTCAGTGCTCAGGTCACCCACAGACAATGTCACATGTGCTTCGGTATCGATGGAGCGTGTCATCATACTGCGCCCTTTAGACCAAGCTGGTGGAAACTCTGCCTCTGTCTGTTCCGAATCTTTATGCAGCTCAGCTCCAGATATTTCAGCTTTATTTGAAGGTGTAGAGGAGGAATTGCATCAGTGGTACTTGGAACAGTTGCTGCCACCTGCACCTCAGCCAAAGGCCCTATGCCAAACTCAGGGCATAGCACTGATCCTTGATACCTTGTCACAGGCAGGCTGCTCTTCTTCTCTGTTCACTCAAAGACTCTTTTCATACACACCAATGACATTTGAGGGAGGGTATCACAAGAATTTTGAGTAGGAACCCCCAAGCCAAGGGGCAGGTTTGGGGCTGCCCTGCCTGCTCCCAGGGGTGTGTGAAACTGTACTCACTCTTCCCTTTCCTCACCTGCAACAGGACGTGAAGGCTCTCAATGTATCGCCCAGCTGTAACCCTAACATGGGAAATCTTAACAGAATGAAGATGCTTAAGCTAAAGTTGAAATAAAGTAAAAGGAAATGGGGGTCAGCCAGCGTTATCTTGATCTGCTGTTCAAAAGCTGTTGAATCTCACAACCTTTGATAACCAAGAAGCACAGAAAGTACAAGTACTGAATAATAAATTAAAATAAAATATTTACCAAACAGTCTGACACACATCCAGTCAGTGTCAGCTGTACATTTGTATTTGTAGCCAGTCTTGGAAGCGAAGTAAAACTTAATCATTGTTACCCCAGAGAGGGGAGCTACACTTGCATTTCCCCTTTGACTTACCACAAGGATTGAAAAATGCAAAGAGAAGGGAAGAGTGCCCAGGAAACTGTCCAGACACAATATAGGTGAAATATGTTCTTCAGGCATAGGTTTTCAGCCACTGTCAAAAATAAGATGTATAGCTGGGCACTGAAAGCCAAAGATCAAGAACCTTGGAACAAATAATGTGATGATAAATATGGTAGGAATGGACAACAAATCAGAATGGGTTAACTGCAAGAATAATGCCTGGGGCCTCTAATGATTACCGAAACGTGTAAAGTCATTTTCTGTGAAGCTACTTCCGCAGTACTTCTGATTATTGAGTATGTGGTGAACTATATTGATTCAATACACATCTACTGTGGTGGGAGCTAAAAAAATGTTTCCATGCTTTGGGAATGTGAATTCTGTTAATGCATTACTAGCAAATATCACTGTGGCATATGGGACAAAGAAGTAAAAGCTGAAAAATACCAGGGTCAGTGTTACAACACTGCTATATTGTACAATGATGCCAAGGAATATGGGGATGCTGCTGTTTTTGTTTTTTTTCCTTCCTGTTGTTGTGTTCTCTTTAATCGTAGGTCTCTAGTTGCATGATTTTCACATGTTCTTTTTCAGGTGGAAATTTTAGAGGGGAATCTCTGCACTCCTGCATCTGTGAAACATTAACATGCTAAAAAGATGAGTGCCTTCCTGTAAAAAGTTGCAGTAAGCAATTGTTTGTCAAAAGGAAAAAGACTAGAATGAATTCCAAGTATGAAAAATTTAACAAGTTACCCTATTTCATAACAGAATTCAGTAGCAACTCTCTGCAAAGCAAAGTGCCAATCAGCCATCAGATCAGGCTGCCCAGGGCCCCATCCAGCCCCAACCACCTGGCCTTCAATGCCTCCACAATGAGTCAACCACAGCTTTTCTGGGCAGCCTGTGCCAGTGCCTCACACCCTCTCAGTGAAAAAGTTTCTCCCTGACATCTAACCTAAATTCCTCCTCTTATAGTTTAAAACTGTTCCCTCTTGTCAATCACTATCACTATTTGATTATGTTGGCCAAATGTTAGTACTTTTATTGGTGAAACTCATTTTGCTAGGAAAACTAGTGACAGCTATGCTAATGAGATAGCTCTTATTAATTCCTTGCTTACACAGAAAGGGATTCACCCAGTCTAGATAAAATAATAATTTTAACTCAGCAAACTTCTTACGTGTGAAAGCCAAAAGGAACCTGCCTAAAACTGGATTCATGGGAGAACTCTTTGGAGCTGGGCCATGAGGAAAGACTGGGGATAACTTGTCTTGAATCCCTTAAAAATTAACCACAGTAGCTGAAGTCCCCTAGCGCTGGGTTTCCCCATTCCTCAGCCCTATCTCTGGCAAGCGGGGCACAGCAGTATCAGGGGTTCTGATGGGGTTCTGATGAAGAAGAACAAAGAATAAGCAGCTTAAAGCTCTTTAGTATTTCTTTGTCATTTATACCAGGTCAGTTAGGGAACAGTGTAGATCACTGCATATTCTCTGGTCCAGCTCCAGCTTTGCTGGATAAGGCTGGAGAACTTTATGCTGATGATAGAGGAGCTGAAGGGCTCACTGTACAGTGCCTTGCAAGCAAAGAGGTTGGCTGCAAAGCTTAGGTGCTCTCTCTATATGAGGTAGGCTCACTAGTGGACATATAATATGTTCTGACATTGGAGTTATGCTATTAAAGGGACATTACTGGGGTTTTACGTGGTCATTCAAAGTCATGGTTTGAACCCAAGCAGAAAGGAGGGATCTGTCCTTTTGTTCTGACCCATATTATAGAAAACCCACTTTCAGTTGCTGGGACCAAATAACAGCAGATGTGAAGGTCAGAAGTAGAAAGCAAACAGGTAAGGCTTTCTAATAAGAATTGTTGTGCCCATCAGTGGCACTTTGGGCACCTGGAAGCCAAAGCCGTTGAAATATTGCACAAACACGCAGAAGACAAATCCCACACTGGGAAATAAAGATAAAGCATTGTGTGAAGCAAGCCTAAAGCCTCTGCAAATATCGACTTCTGAGAGGATTTATTCAGCTTCAGAATGCTGGAAGTGGTGGGGAGGTTCTCATGGAAAATACAGACTCCGCTGCAGCTCTGGTTACTCAGAAGCCCTGGGGCCTGGCAAGTCAACTCTCAGCTACATCTCACATCAAACCCCATCTTTTTAAAGCCTGAGTGCACTGTGGCTTAGCAAGGTTTGGACTATAACTGACTCTTCTGCTTTATCTGCCTCCTCTGATTTCTGCAGGGAATCCACTGCTCTGAATAGGATGACTTCTAAAGGATTTGCCAGCTTTGAAATGGATCACAGGGAGATGGGGATGGAAAAGCAGAGAGAAACATGACAAAAACGTGATCAGCAGTACACATGGGACTGGAGACTAACAGAGCTGACAGCAACAGAGTAGTGGTGAAACTGCAGCTGTGCTGAGATATTACCTGTGAAGTCAAACCACATACAGCCACAATTCCAGGAAAGCTGGGCAGTGGGCACTGATTAACACCATATTCCTCTTACTGCAGGTGGTTTGCAGTACGTGTGGAGATCTTCAGAGCTTGAACGCTAAAGGGAACAGGTATAGAATCTTGACTGTAGGCTAGGTCTACAAACAGACAATGAATTTAAGTTAGTCCTGTGGTTTGCTGTGTGAGACCTTTCCTTTAAGCAGTGCAAAAGCTGTACTTCAGTGCACTGGTGGTGCGGACAGGAAGACGACTGACTCCTCACACCACAGCGAAGGCTGCAGAGCCAGACCCTGCTGCTTCTGGGAAACAGGAGATTAAAATCCTCAGGAATGCAATAGGATGGCAGGGCCAGGCTGAACATCAAATATGAAATACAGAGAAACTGAGGGCTTTGTTTGCAAAGATGTGGTTTTAGAAATAAATGCTCAAGGAAAGGGTGTTGTTAAGAAGAAAAATAATTGGAGCTGAGATGCTGCTGGTGGAGACAAAAAGTCAGACAAGGGAGAGGAGCAGCTTTTCTCATGAGTTCTTTTCTGAGACAGCCAGTCTCCTTTTTAAGGTTTGTGCCCATTCTGAAAGTCCTGCTACAGTGCAGCACCTCTTGACCTCTCAGGCGTGCTGTGCTATGCTGGCTCTGACAGAATACATGGGCCACAGCATCCCAGGTGGAAACAGAATCTCACTATTGCTGGATGTGTTTATTGGGCATTTGGAGTACAGGGGTGAGAGCCTGCTTATTCCTAGGGTGAGCATCATCACTAGAAATCTTTAACCTGCACTTGAGAATCTTGTGAACAAAGAAAATGTAGGTAGAATGATTAAGCTGGATGATTTTAGCACTTTCAGTTTAATAAAATCTCATTTCCTTCAAGCTGCAGAGAATATCAAACCCCCCTTTGGCATGGCCTTTAGGATGACTAAGCATAGAATCATAGAATGGCTTGGGTTGGAAAGGACCTCAAGAATCATGATACTCCAATCCCCCTGCCACAGGCAGGGCTGCCAACCTCCGTATCTAATACTAGGCCAGGCTGCCCAGGGCCCCATCCAACCTAATTATAGGATTCTTTTGGCTTTCTAAGGAGGCAAAGGGTAAAAAAAAAAAAAAAAAATAGGTCTCCACTGCTGTAGATGGAGTGCAACTCAATTTCTGCAGACCGAAAGGCAACAGAAAAGCACAGCTGGGAGCTCAGGGGCACCGGTGCCTTTTTAGCACCTCTGTGAGGTGACAGAGCTGGAGAGCCCAGCCTCAGGGAATGCTCTGCATACCGAGGCCATTTTTTCTTCCAGTTGTTGCAAATGCTATAATAAAAATTATCACTTATTTTTCAAAAATCATGTAGGGAAATTATTGTCAGGTGACTGATTGGGGGTGAAAGGAAGCACAGAAAGGACACGGGAAGGACAAGAGCTGCTTTCCACTGCACACATTCCTCCTCCTCCTCCCATCTCCCCTCCATCTGTGGGTGCGTTTGACCTCGCCGCCGCCTCCCTGCAGCCGGGCAGTGCTGGAGGAGGGCTCTGCAGCCGGGCCTGGAGCTCTGGCACTGCGCTGTTTTCCATGGGAAGGGCGAGTTAATTTGTTCACTAAACGTTCTCTTATCTCTGGCAGGCAAAATTAGGGAGTCGCCTTTACTGGAAGCCTTTCAAAGGAACAGAATCTCAGCTCTGTTCTCTTCCTAATTTTCCTTTCATCTGCAGGCCAGCGTTGTAAAGCCATGACTGTCTCGAGCAGTAGAGCAGCTCGTGTTACTTGTCCGTGTAGCTGCTGCTCGATGGTATCAATTCTGCCTCAGCATTTTGAATCTAACAAAATCAATTCCTTCTTTTCTCCTGTGCTGCTGCATGGTGCCATGAAGAGTGCACGGTCATTTTGTCGTGGTTGTTGTCTTTTAGCTATTTTACAAAACAACTGGTCTTACCCATGCAACACAACCACATCAATTGGAACAATTAAACCAAAGCGAAGCCTTAAGTGAAACCCACTACCATCATTTTAAGACCTTTTATTCCAGGTAACCAAGTGAGGAAAAAGACAGTGATTGCAGCCAGTGCTGAGTGGTTGCCTTTTTCCAACGTGGGCAGAGTGCTGCTGAGCCTGCTGTGTGCAGGGCTGAGCCAAAGCTGCTACAGAGACTTTCCAGACAATGTCTGATTAGAAAACTTAGAATATGGTCTCCTATCATGAGTTATTACTGCTCCTGAATGTTGTTCAGCACTTAGGAATACAAATCCTGGTCTCTTCAGCACACATTTAAATGGTCTGTGTGTTTTCCTTTATCACACTGTGAAACGTGCTTCTTATTTTTATTATTTTGATTAGGTTCCTCTGTTGGAAAAGTGGAAAATCAATTCTCAGACAGAATCAATTAAGCTTTAAGTTCAAATACACTACAGGTGAATAGCCAGACCTGCAGGTTTTCCTCCCAACATCAGTACATAAAGGAGATAATGGGTCCTTATCTGACTATGGAATTTAATTTTTTTCATGGAATCATGGAATCATAGAATCTTTGGAGTTAGAAGGAACATTTGAAGGTCATCTAGTCTAACTCACCTGCAGTGAAAAGGGGCATGCACAGCTAGATCAGAAAATGTAGTTGAGACTTCACATTTTCAGGTTTTCTCATATGTGAAGGAGAACTTCAAAATTTTAATGTATAGCAAAATTTGGGATTCTTCATAACCAGATGATTCCTGGAGGCTGAGCTGCAAAGAAAACACTGGGTGTTGGAACACATTCTACAGAATTCTAAAAATGCAAAACAATTATTGTTGGCTTCAAAGAATTACTCAGAGTAAAAAAACGCCTTTATCTACATCTGATCTTTGGGAAAAAAAAAAACCAAAACATATGAGCCTGGAAACATCCCAGCCTCTCAGACAGCGCCGATATTCTCCTAATGCAGCTACCAATCCAGGTGTACCTCAGTCTCAGCCCTGTGTGGTGGCCTTTCAGCAGGTCTTTTGAAGCTGCTCTCCTGCTGCACTTTGGTTATACACAGTGATTTATGAGTGTATGACTGCTAACCACAGAGTATTCACGCATTTAAGCTTCATCACCAAATCAGGCCATAGGTGCATAAAGACAGCCTTCTGAGGTGCACCGTGGGTTTTATCTGCTCACTTGTTTGCTTGGGGGGCTGCCTTCAGCTGGAGCTGCCAAACCCTCTTCTGTGGTAATTAAATTGTACACTTGGAGCAAAAGGAAAATATGCTGCAGTTTGTTTATTCAGAAGGAAATGCTTGATATAATCTAACAGATTACATTCTTGGAAAGGAATGGGAGCAAAAATAGATCCCTGTGCCAAATTCTGCCTTTCGCTTCATCTCAGCGTTCAGGTGCCTCCAGAGCCTTCAAAGTGAGGGGGCTGCACTGGGCTGAAATACAGTGCTGCTGTACTGCTGGCTGAGAGATAGGCAGCACCCTGCAGGCCCCTGCTGCAGCCAGCCTTGGGCTACATCTGACACTGAGCCTGCAGCTGAGAACACTGCTCCAGGAAAATGCACGGGGCATTCTTACCTGGGGCTGAGCATGGGACGGTCAGGCACGCCTTTCTTCAGCACTGGCTGGGATGATAAAGCCTAATGGTGCTCTTGGAGATGCCGGTGAGCTATGGATTGAAGTAACAGGCAGCCTGTTTCCTGGTAGTGTAGACTGAAAGCTCCCACAGTCTGGGTTTGGTACGCAAGGCCCATTCTGGCTTGGCTGTGGGGTAGCTCTGCAGTGCAGATGCAGACACCTCGCCCTGCAGTGAGGAGCATGGTTCTGCACTGCTAAGCAAGCGAGGACAAGCCTTAGAAAGGGCATAAGGTTCATAAAACATAATAAAATGTTAAAGACGTGCAGTCTGGATGATTCTTTTTAAAGAAACAGACAGAACGTCCTGCAAGTATTACAACATCCCGTCCCCTGCTCATCTCGGTTCTCAGCTCTGTGGCTCAGTGAAGGGGTGGGGACAGGGAAGTGCTCAGAACATCTGAACAAAAAATACAGACTTTAAATGACTGTGGGACAGAGCTGCCTATTTCAGAAATTAGGAAATAAAAAGGGGAATGGAAATCAAAGAATTCCTGTCATTTGTCATCTACGATACGTTGCCATGATTCAGCTTTTCCTACTTTTGGGATGGATGAGTAGACAGCCTTTCGTTCTACTGAGGCTGGGCACTCTGAAAAGAGGGAGCTGATGGCAATGGCTCCAACAGGAACTTCAGCAGCTCTCTGCATGCTGCCAGCCAGCAGTGGCTGCTGCCAAGTGTGCTTATGTCTGTGCTCTGCACATCTGTCATTGCCAAGGTTTCATCTTTTGACCTTCATCTCCATCCCTTCTTTACAAAAAGCAGAAGTATACATAAAATGTTACTTTCAAGGCTTCTACTCAAAGAATCTATTTCAGGAAAGTATCTTTAATACTTGCAGCTGGTGTTTCTCCTCATCGACTCTTCTTTCTCTAGCATCAGTTGTACCGTATTCCCTACCAAGCTGCAGCTGCCCCTGGTTTCAGAGGACTGCAGCTGTATTTACTTTGTGCAGGAATGTGGAGGTGTAGGAACTGCTCTGCTGTTGTGCAATGGTTCTGCTGCTCCACCTGCAGGCCCGGGGCTTATCTTCACACACACTTCGTTCCGGGTCAGGGACTCTCATATTTAGCGGTGTGTTCCAACATGTGCGTGCCCAACTGTCTGTGGGATCCGACACTTGGTGAGAGATTTTGTTGCTACTCTAGGAATAACTTTGTAGTGGGGAAAGTGAAAACGTTTTGTTCAGCACCCATGAACCACAGTATTTTGAATAGAAGTTTCCTTCTATTAGTTGGCAGTAGGGGGCTGTTCTGGCTTTATCTGCAGGTACCTGGAATGACTCCCAGCGGTGCTGCAAAGCTCCAACAGCACTGGCTGACCAGAAACAGGGTTTGGTGCGGGACAGCGGTGTGGAACTGGGCTCTATCACACATACAAGTGGGAGGTCATGGGCAGAGAGCAGGACGGGACCAGCTGGGAAGTACAGAACAGATCAGCCCCAACACCCACACCTCAATCTGCTCAAACGGCCTTGAGATGTGTTTGCAGACAAAAGAGCTGTGAATTGTGCTACTTGATGGTGCTGGGAACTGCCTGGGAAATCAGCGTAGGAAGTCAAGGTTAGTTCTGTTTACACAAAGCTTAGGAAGATATTTTGTTTTCTCTTGAAAACACACTCTGCTGAAAACAGCCTTAAGTTGCACTGGGAGAGGTATAGATTGGCCATTAGGAGGGTGGTGAGGTATTGGGGCAGGTTGCCCAGGGAAGTGCTGGTGTGTGTAAGAGACAATAGAAGTGTGGATGTGATGCCGTGGGATGTGATTTAAAGGCTGAACTTGTTGAGTGGTGGTTAGACCTGATAATCTCAAGCGTCTTTTCCAACCTAAGTAATTGGAAAGCTCTAAAGAAAAGTTCTCTCTAAAGTGATCTCAGAATATTTAACACTAGTTTTCAGGCATTCCTTAGCAGCTCTCACCTAGATGTGTCCCAGGCCCCCTTTGCTCATCCTGCTTAATTCATCATCCCATCCCATTTCCTCAGAACCACCATAGCTGCAGCTGGGCAGAAACGTTATGCCAAGCAGCAGGCAGCTTGCATGCAGCCCTGTTAGCAGTAGATGCTTGTGGCAGTGACCTCTGCTTTACCAGGAAACCCAAGAGAGACACCTGAGAAGGACTCCCTGATTTCAGGGTCCTGCAGGTAGGTCTGTGCAGTGTCCTGGGGACACAGTTTCCAGACAGGATGTGATGTGAGTCTTAGCATTGCCAGCTCCTGTTACTCCTCAGACCTGTTATGGGCACAAGGTCCCTCAACAGTGGCAAAGAGAAAAAGCTGCTTGTAGTAGTTCTGAGACCTCTCCCAAACACCTGCTATTTTGATGTAAATCACTTCTGTCCACAAATTCAAGTCTCTCTTTCCACAGCTGTATGTGTTTCCAGTTCTTGCGCACTTACTGCTGTCTGCTCTTTTAATGGGTGAATTCAGTGATATTGAAATAGCATTTTTGTAAGCTCGGGAATGTTTTCAGCTATATATTTTTTTGCAACAGTTTGGGTTTCCCATGTTGAATCCACAAAATGTTTACAGAACAGCTTTTTATGAGGCATGAATTTACCTTGGCCTTGCACCCCAATGCTTAGTATTTGTAATCCTGTACATGCTCAAATGGCATGCACCATCTGCAGCCCATGTCGTGTTCTGTGTGGTCAATCTTTTTTACAAGAGACATCAAAACTTCTAAAAATTCACCAAGCATCCCTATCCCCACCAATGCGGAGAAGCCACCTGAAAAGAAGAGCATTTATGGCCCTGACAGCAATTCAGCATGGAGATCTGCCTTGCCTGTAGCTGTCTGCTAGTGAATCATAGAAAATCGTTTGAGTTGGAAGGGACCTTTCAAGACCATCTGGTCCAACTCCCCTGCAATGAACAGGAATATCTACTTCTAGATCAGGTTGCTCAGAGCTCTGTCCAGCCTGACCTTGAATGCCTCCATGGATGGGGCATCCACCACCTCTCTGGGAAACCTGTTCCTGTGATTTCTTATTGGTATGAAAATGCCACAGCCCCTGGTCGGAAAGGGAGGCTGGGTAGAAGAAAGGCTTCAGCTTGTTCCAGAGGCAGGTGTGCCTGTGCCATCCATCCACTGAACATCTCAAGTGAGCCCATGGCACACAGGGTTCAGCATTATCCAGTGCCCGTTGCAATACTGCACACAGGAGGAGAAAATTCCCAGCATGGTCCCCAGGAAGCAGTAAGAAGTTCCTTCCTGAATGGCTGTTGTTCACGGAGATGCCTCATTTCATGTCAGTTAGTAGGAACCTGAAGGAAATGACTTCAAAACTGAAAGGAACCCGAACCCGATGACTTCATAGTACTTTTGGGAGGAGATAAAGATGAGAGGACAGATGTCAAGGAGCAATTCCTCTCTCCAGCACTTGGGCCAAGCTTTGTGTGAGAGCTGTAAGATTCCTGTCCTGGACATCCCATCAGTTAAAAGAGGAGAGAAAAGGAAGCACGGCAGCCCTTGCTGCAGGCCCCACTCCAACTCTGCTAATGTTTGCATTGGAGCACAGAGACATTAATGGGCTTTGGAGAACCATTAACTGCCCCTGCCAGGCCAGGTAACCTCGAGGTCGTGGAGCAGATGTGCAGAGCCACAGCCAAGCAGCACAAGGCTGGTAGTGCTGGGGGACCCAGCTCCCCTGGACTTCACTGCAGTTCCAGGGAAAAAAAATCCAGCCTTAACTGTCCAATCATAACTACCACCTGCTAGATATTGAACAACACAGTCCAGTTGCCTTGAGCTGTGTCTGGGCTCAACCTTCAGTTCTGCAAATCCAAATCTAGCATAACAGGTTATTCTACTCACACTTGACATGAGCAGAAAAGAAGCACACTAGCCTTTAAGCAAGACTGATGTGTTAATCTTACCACTCACAAGTTTAATCTTGTGAGTATGATCCTCAATTTTCAGGGCTTTCTCTCACCAGCTTTGTTACTGCAAAGGAGAATGCAGTCAGAAGAGGCTGCCAGCGTGCAAAGCCATGTAATTAACAGTCTGACCACTGGATGCTACTGTTGCTCCAAACATCTGCAAATGGAGGCAGGGGAACACCGGGCAGCGCCAACTCCTCATTTTTCAGCCCAGCTGAGTCAGTGACTGCTGGGTCATCCTCTTACTGTCTGCCACCAGGCAGGAGGAAGAGCTGGAAGTTATTCTGACAGAAGGCAATGTCTGCATCCAGCAACACACAAGCAAATTATTAAATTAGTAGCACTGGAGTGAGATTTTAGTAATGATGAAGTAAGGGATTTTAAAAACATTAGGCTTAGGAATTCTAGCACACTGCACAGGACAGTCAAATTGTTGTGTATGTAGTACACAGAGCCCAGAAATAAACCTTAATTTCAGGTACTTTTGACCAATATGCTGCAGTTTACTCATTGATATACTCCCCTCCCTCCCACCCAAAGAATGATTAGCCTGCAGGCAGTCTTTACCATCATCATCACTATCATCAGATACAAACATTTATCTTTTCTCTTTTAAAACCAACAATTAACGTCATAGTCTGACACCAGACAAACATTGAATTCTGACTCACAACCAGATTACTGCACCTGCCAATGGATCAAAGTGAGCCAAGACTTGGGTTCTTTTATTTTTCTCTTTCCACCAGCCTCCCCTTTTTCTTCTGAGATCCATTCCAGGGGATACCTAACAAGCCCACTTCTCTGTGTTTTAATTTTCACTTAATCTCTGTCCCTCCCAAATTTTGTCTCCCTTTCTGGGCAGTGCTGAGATCTGTGATCACTTTTGCTCTCCACTATACACATTCCTCCCCATCCTCTTTTCTGTATGGATCCCATATAGCTTTCTCTAAAGCAAAATCTTCCTATCAGAGCAGCTGGTTGTTATGACCGGGATGTGCCCAAAGCAATTCATCATTTATTGATTGGCACCACTGTGGAATATTTCCTTTGTGCATACAGTACAACCTGAGATTTCTTTTTGATCTTCATCAAATCAGGCAGAGAGCCTTGTGGATATGCAGGATGATGTCCCTATGGGTAGACAAAAGCATTGCTACACTTGACTGAAGCTGGCAAATTCAGTAGATGGCTGCTCACCATGAGTCCGTCAGGACTTTTTTGCAGGTTTGGGCATTTTCCTCACTCATTGTACTACCCGTTTTATCTTTTTAGTGTAAATGATTCGTGATTTAATTTGTCTTGTTTGGCTTTAGACATCACCCAGTTCAAT